TCCCGAGTGCTGGGATTAAAGGCGTGCGCCACCATGCTGGGCATTTTTTTTTTTTTGAGACAGAATTTCTCTGAATTGTTTTGGAGCCTCTCCTGGAACTTGATCTGTAGACCAGGCTGGCCTCAAACTCACAGAGATCCGCCTGCCTCTGCCTCCCATGTCCCAGCTTTGGAGTCGAGGATTCTACTAACTATACTATCTGCTCAGCCTGATGTGGGCTTTAATAAACCGCTGAAGCCAACCGCCAGGGAAGGGCTCAGTGTGTGTGCTGCTGAGCAGATCCTGGCTTTGGGAGAGGTCTGCTTCTTCAGAGGGACCCAGCCCCTGATCTTCTGACCCAGTAGCAGGGTCCTGTATGAACACCTACAGATCTCCTGAGGCATCAGCTGTCTCCTGGCCCTGCTGCCTGGGGAATGCTGTGCCTCAGGGCAGTATCTGTAGGCTCCCGCCTGAAGGCTCCCAGTTCTTCCTGTTGGGGGAACTGTTGAAATGAGGACACATGTTTTGAGTGTGGAAAAATGTGTATCTGGGTGGAAACCAGGGCAGCCAAAAGGAACAAAGTGGAAACTCACAGGAACTAGCTGTCCTGTGTGTTCTTCCCTAGACCGTGACTGAGAGGGCTTTGGACCTGATGGAATTCATCTGTCTTCCATGGATGTTTAAAGGAACCTGAGACCTGGGAAAGCTGGGTTCTCAGTGGCATTCCCTTAAGGGATGGTGAAGAATAGGTATTTACACAGATGAGGTGACTTACTGACTTGCGATTCAAGCATAAGATCCCTACACAGAGCTCAACCCTCCCTGGACCAGGCTTTCAAGTTAAAAGCATTTTTATGGCTCAGTTGATAGCAGCCACATCTGGGTTTTTCCTCTCTTCAGTCTTTTCCCTCAGGCATTCTCCCTGGCCGGCCCAGATTTCCAGTGAGCGAGCAGAAAGGAGCTAAGGAAGGTTCAGGGAGGAATGCAGGCCTCTGCATCTCCAGCCCAGGCTCCTTGGAGAGATTAGCTGATTACCTCACCTTTGTCCTAGGCACAGATAGGGCTTGCACAAAACTATCAGTGCAGTTATACTTTGGACTAGAATTCAGACTCAATTCACAGAAACTCTTGTTGATCCAGAACTTTCTCTAAAGTAGCTACCCCTTTCTGGCTGTCTCTGATGACCACTTCCTAAAATGAGCTTCCAGAGGCTTAGGTACAGCTCAGTTGGTAGTCTGCTTCTGTAGCACCCACAGAGCCCTGGGTTCAACCTCCAGCATCCCCAGCACTAGAAGACTGGACAAGACTGTCCATGTCTGTAAACCTAGCGCTTGGGAGGGGGAGGCAGGGGGATCAGAAGCTCATAGTCATCCTGAGCTACATAAAGAGTCTGAGGCCATGCCGGGCATTGGTGGTGCACGCCTTTAATCCCAGCACTTGGGAGGCAGAGGCAGGCGGATCTCTGTGAGTTCGAGGCCAGCCTGGTCTACAGAGCCAGTTCCAGGACAGCCTCCAAAGCCAGAGAAACCCTGTCTCGAAAAACCAAAAAAAAAAAAAAAAAGAGTCTGAGGCCACATGAGACCTTCAGACAGGATCCTCCTACCTCTGCCTGCCAAGTGCTGGGACTACAGGCATACACCACGACAGGCTGTGGTGTTTGTAGGCAAAGAATCTCAGATGAAGATGCTAAGTACGTAATAACATGTGTCAACTGAATTTCCCTATGAGTGAAAGGTTAAAATAAGGTATGGAGAGGAGGCTACCTGCTTGTTCCTGTGGGAATGTGGTCTAGTCAAAAGGACCTCACGAGAGTTTACAACATCCCACGGGAACTGCCATGCTCCTGAACTGTAATCTTCTAATTAAGCAAAGGAAGAAACAAGTCTGGCACAGGGCCTCCCTGCTATGGTTGTCGTGTCTTTCGACGTCTGTAGGTATGGTCTCTTCGTGAGAGGAGGGATTAACTTCTGGGGAGGAAAGTGTGGTAGAAGGCAGGAATGAAGCCAGGTGGTGGTGGTGCACGTCTTTAATCCCAGCACTCAGGAGGCAGAGGTAGGAGGATCTCTGTGTGTTCAAGGCCAGCCTGGTCTATAGGACAGCCAGGGCTACATGGTGAAACCCTGTCTGAAAACAAAAGGAAGATGGGAATGAATCCATGTTACGTTCCAAGCAGGCAGAGGTGGGACTAGAACAAAGATTTCTCTTTTTTTGGTTTTTCGAGACAGGGTTTCTCTGTATTGTTTTGGAGGCTGTCCTGGAACTCGCTCTGTAGCCCAGGCTGGCCTCGAACTCACAGATATAAGCTGCCTCTGTCTCCCGAGTGCTGGGATTAAAGGTACACTACTGCACCTGGGCCTGTATGAGTGTTTTGCTTGAATGAATGTCTGTGTGCAATGTGCATTTGTTGATGCCCAAGGTCAGAAGAGGGCATCAGATCTCCTGGAGCTGGAGTTACAGACAGTCATGAGCCATACGTGGGTGCTGGGAATCAAGCCTTGGTCCTTTGTAAGAACAAGAAGAAGAACCATCTCTCCAGAGTGTGAGATAGAGGATCTTGTAATCCCCAAGAGGGAGGTGGGTGGTACAGTGAGACCCCCCCCATCTTGAAGATAAAAATTGAAGTGCTGCTTTCGCTTGCTAGTCTGTCTTTTTGTTTGTTTGTTTTTTGAGACAGGCTTTCTCTGTGGCTTTGGAGGCTGTCCTGGAACTCACTCTTGTAGACCAGGCTGGTCTCGAACTCACAGAGATCAGCCTGCCTCTGCTGTCTGTGGTTTTTATTGTTTTGTATTAGGCAAGGTTTCATATCCCCCCAAGCTAGCCTCGAACTGGCCATGCAGTCTGGAGTTCCTAACCCTTTCCCCACCTCCCAGACGCTGGAATCGCACGGTCCCACATTCCCATCACCAGTGTTTTACCATCACCTAGCACCTGCAAGGAAGGATCTGTGTGCAGAGGGAGGAACGTGGCTCCAGTTCCCTCCCTCAGGTACGTTTGAAAGCCTAGTGGTTAGGGCCAGGGCCTGCAGGGAGAGCTCCAAATTCTGCCAGGGAGCCCTGGGACCCGGATGACAGTGTCTGGAGCAGGGGCTCAGCCTCCCTCAGTCTAAGTCATCCAGGAGACCTTGGAGGAAAGCAAGACAATTGTTCAGGAGTACCGTTAGCACAGAGTCAGTTGGCTACTACTGAAAAGGTGAGTGAAAACACAAAATACACTGGGCAGGCAAAAGGCAGGAGAATCAGAAGTTCAAGGCCAACCTCAGTAACAAGAGGTTCTGGGTTGAGACTGGTGCACGCCTTTAATCCAGAACTTGTGAGGCAGAGGCGTGAGTTTGAGGCCAGCCTGGTCTACAGAGTTTTATGTTACACATAAAAACCCTGTCTTGAAAAACCAAATTAAAAAAAAAATTTCTGAGTTTTCAGGGTCAGCAAAAACTACATGAGATCTGGTCTCAAAATGCCGGGGTGGGGGCTGGAGAGGTGGCTCAGAGGTTAAGGGCACTGCCTGCTCTTGCAGAGGTCCTGAGTTCAATTCCCAGCAACCACATGGTGGCTCACAACCATCCGCAATGAGATCTGGTGCCCTCTTCTGGTGTCCAAGCATAGAACACTATATGCATACATAATAAAATTTTAAAAAAAAGTGCGGGTGGGCAACAGGGTAAAGGTGCCTGCCAAGCCTGATGAACCCAGTTCTGTCCCAAAGCCCACACAACTGAAGGAGAGGAAAGACTTCTGTGAAATTGTCTTTTGACCTCTGAAATCACCTGGTGGCACAGGGGACCCCCCCACAACACACAAATAAAATGTAACAGTGAAACCACACTCCCCTTGCAAACCACACACACACACACACACACACACACACACACACACACACACTATTGCAACTAGGAGACAGCTTTATAAATGTAAGCAAGGGAAGCAGTCACCCCAAACTACTCTGCATATTGCTGAAAGCTGAAGTCATGCTGAAACACTTTAAATTCTTGCTCATCAGTCTCCCCCTCCAGCGAAACAAAAACAAAAACATAAATAAATAAAAAATCCAAAACCTCGTCAAACCCACAAACACAGAAATGTCTGTAATTAACTGAGCAATGACGTCTTCTGCCTGCCCAAGCTTCTCCCTGTTCTGTGGTTGGTGTGTGTGTGTGTGTGTGTGTGTGTGTGTGTGTGTGTGTGTGTGTATGTGTGTCCACGGAAGCCCTAGGTCTGCTCTACCCTGTTTGTTTGGGAATTCTTCACCCATAGGCCACACGCGGGCACTTTCCCAGGTCTCCAAAGAACATTTCAAAAACGACGGGCTGAAAGTGACTACGATGAGTTGACGCTCTACCAAGTCAAACCCTGAAGGCTGTGTGAGCTGTCCAGGGAAGCACAGACAGCATGCACGGAGGGGTTAGCAGGCCACCCAGCATCCCCTATGGAGTCTTGGGGACAATTTGGGACACGGGGTTGGCAGAGAACTCGGGGTTGCGGCGGTGGGGGCATGGGGAGGGGGTGGGGCCCCGGCTGCCAGGGCGGGGCGGCTCGCTGTGGGATTGGGGACAAAGACACGCGAGCTCGAGGCGGGCCTCCCCGGGACCGCGGGGGAGGCGCACCCAGCGCGGCAATCCGACCGGAACACGACTCGGGCCTGCAGGGGCCCACGCTGCCTCTGCCCGACGCAGCCTGGGGCCTCTCGGCCACGGCGGGGCAGCTCCGGGACACCCAGACCCTTGCCCGTCGTCGCCGCCGCCGCCGCTTAGCCCCGGGTCGCGTCCGCGCCGCAGCCTCCGCGCGAAGCACGCGCCGCCGCCGGCTCCCACCGCAGCTCGCTTCCCATTGGCTGGCCGCGCCGCGGGCGCTCCCGCCCCGCCGTCCCATTGGCTGAGGCCGCCGCGGTCCCCACCCCGCCCCCCGCGCGCCTGCCGCCGCTGACATCACGCGGCCTGAGGCGGCGGCGCCCCCTTCCCCCCCCCCCCCAGCGCAGCCCCGCAACCCCCTGAGGCCGAGGCCCCGCCGCGGTGCCCGGCGGAGGATGGTGCGCGCCCCGCGGGCCGCTCCCCGCCGCCTCAGCCGCAGCGCTTCAGGCGAGCGGGCCGCCGACCCCCGCATCGGGCGTGCGGCCGGCCGGCCGGCGCGCTGAGGCGCGGAGAGCGCAGCCCGGCGACGCCGCGGTGGGTCGCAGCGGCCATGGGGGCCCTAACGAGCCGGCAGCACGCGGGCGTGGAGGAGGTGGACGTCCCGTCCAATTCCGTGTACCGCTACCCGCCCAAGTCCGGTGAGGGCCGGGCGCGCGCCGCGGGCCGGGCGGAGGGGAGGCCGCGCGTCGGATGCTGCCGCGGGCGAGCGGCCCCGGGTGGGCCTCGGAGCGGGGGTTGGTCTTGGGGGAGGATGCAGGGCTCGGGAGTGTCCCCCCCCCCCAGTCCCGGGCCCCGGCGACGGCGGCGCAGAGGGCTGCAGGTGCCTGCGGGGTCACCGAGGTCACCCTCCGCCGAGGCCGCCCGCCCGGGATGCCGCGTTGCAGGGGCTGCGGTTTGGAGAGGCGTCCCCGACAACAGGCAGCCGCGCCGGGTGGTGTCCCCCCGCCCCGGCTGCCTCGTGCGGGCCTCTGGGGCGCCTAGGAGTGGGGGGGTCTGCTGGCCTGGGGTGGGGAGAGGAGGAACTCGCTCCGCAGACCCTCGGCCTCTCCGGAGGCTGTCGAAGGAGATCGGAGCGAGCAGAAATGTGTGTGGGGGGTAGGGGTGGCGTCTGACAGGGTCACCTGGGCTGCCCCTTTGCTAGTTCCTGGCAACGGGAAGGCTGGGACGGGGCAGACGTATTCTTCAGACGCGTGCGGTCACTCGGGAAGATGAGTGCCCGCCATCCTCGGTGTCGCATTCGCATTGCGGGACAGTTTTGACAGCAGAGGAGTGACAAAGTAGTCGAATTGAGTGGGGGGGCAGCCGCCGAGCTGCTGGTGAATGCCCCGGCTAGCTGTCTTTTCTTTTTTCCTTTCCTTTCCTTGCTGTCCCCAAGCCCCCTGGGGACCCGTGTGTGCCACCCTCCGTCAGTCCCGAGGACCCGATGGGGATTCTGATGGTGGCAGAGTGAGGTGTCAGAGTTGGCGAGGATCCCACTTCCCCATTGGTGGAATAAAGACATGCTAATGAGTCGAGCTGGCTCCGCCGCGGTACGTCCAGTCTCTGCCAGGTGGAAGGAAGCTGGGAGCAGACAATGAACCTGCCTCCCTGCAGAGTGTGCTTCCCGGCGGCTCCGTCCGTGCCAGAGAATAAGCTCTTGCGGACGAGCTAGAACTGCTGTAGACAGGCCTGAGATAAAGCTGAGGAGCCTTAGTGTTTTAACAGAGCTCTTGATAATTATGGCCGTAGGCCTACTTTTATCTCTTAAAATGCATCTTTAACACTCTGGAGGCCGAGGCAGGAGGGTTATGAAGTTTGGGGGTCAGCCTTCGGCTGCACCGTGAGACTGTCTCAAACAAAATAAAACCAATACAACAACAAAAAGGAAAGTGTAATTAGCCTCCCTTCCGGTGGTAGGATTACAGATGTGAGTCTCATTACCTGACTTGCATTTTGTCTCTTAAAAAGGAAAATATGCAGCGGTGTGGCCGTGTGTGTGTGTGTGTGTGTGTGTGTGTGTGTGTGTGTGTATGTGTGTGTTGTCCCCCATCCCCCCCCCTTCCATGGTCTAAGTCACTCAGCTTTTATTGATCAGAACATGGCTCGTGTTTTGCTGAGCTTGGAGTTTTCTTCAGTAGGGTTTGCTGCCTCAGGAGAATATTTACCCGTCCTCCTCCACATATGGGAATTAGCAATGGTGGATATCTGAGAGACTGTTCCCAAAGAATGTAGGAGAAACAGAAATTGAAGGCAACAAGAGAATAATGGACCAAACTGAAACCTTTTGGGGGAGATGGGAATCTCACAGTATAGGTCAGGCTGGCCAGCAAATGGAAATGTAGCTGTGGTGAGCCACACACCTGAGGCAGGCCTCTTGGCCTAGCTTCCCCTTCCCAAATACGAGGATTACTAGCATGCTTCACAACGTGCCGCAGCTCCAAAGCCTTTCTTAGCAAATTCAGTATTTAACAGAACAAAACAATGTTCCAGGAACTACCAATCTTTGAAAAGTTTTACCTAATTATAACTCATTTCTATCCCTTTAGGTTGTTATTTTGAAACAGGTCCTTATTTATCACAGGCTGACCTCATTCTAACTTTAATAGCGAAGGATGACCTTGAACTTCTGATCCTCTCAAGTACTGAGACCTAGAATTCACCACCTAGGATTTCCAAGACAGGGTTTCTCTGTAGCTTTGGGCACAGTCCTGGAACTCACTCTAGACCAGGCTGGCCTGGAACTCAAGAGTTCTGCCTGCCTGTGCCTCCTGAGTACTGGGATTAGAGGCGTGAGCCACTACTGTCTGGTTGAACCCAGGATTTCTTAAATGCTAGGTGAACACTATGCTCCAACTAGGCATATCAAAATGTTAGTTTTTTTTGAAAACAGTCTTTCTGTGTATTCCAGGTTGGCTTTACTTTTTCTGCCTTTATTTACCCCCCTCTCCCTCTCCCCCCCCTTTTGTTTAGAAAGGGATTCAGTATGTAGTGCTGGGTGACCTGGAACTCACTGTGAGGACCAGGATGGCCTTGAGTTCAGAGATCTGTGTGTCTCTTCCTCAAGTGCTGGGATTAAAGACATTCAATACCTCATAGAGTTTTACGCTTTTTGGTTTGCTTTGGAGGCTGTCCTGGAACTCACTCTGTAGACCAGGCTGGTCTCGAACTCACAGAGATCTGCCTGTCTCTGCCTCACCAAGGTATGTGCCAATACTGCCCAGCTTTTTTTTTTGTTTTGTTTAAGACAAGGTCTTGCCAGGCTGTGGTGGTGCACGCCTTTAGTCCCAGCACTCGGGAGGCAGAGGCAGGTGGATCTCTGTGAGTTCGAGACCAGCCTGGTGTACAAGATCAAGTTCCAGGACAGCCTCCAAAGCTACAGAGAAACCCTGTCTGGAAAAAAATTTTTGTTGTTGGTTTTTTGAGACAGAATTCCCTGTATAGTCCTGACTGTTCTAGAAATTATCTTGTAGAGCAGGCTGGCCTTAAAGTCAGAGAGATTTCTTCCTGCTGAGTGGGTATGGCTGTGTGTGTGGGTGTGTGCACTGATGCATGCATGTGTGTTGCAGGGGCATTGGATCCCTTAAAGCTGGAGTTACAGCCGGGCGTTGGTGGCGCACGCCTTTAATCCCAGCACTCGGGAGGCAGAGGCAGGTGGATCTCTGTGAGTTCGAGACCAGCCTGGTCTACAGAGTGAGTTCCAGGACAGCCTCCAAAGCCACAGAGAAACCCTGTCTCGAAAAACCAAAAAAAAAAAAAAAAAAAAAAAAAAGCTGGAGTTACAGGCATGTAGGCCATTGTGAGCTACAGCTATTGTGGGTGCTGGGAACTGAACCTGGGTCCTCTGCAAGAGCAGTGTGGACTCTTAACCAATGAGTATCTCTCTTCAGTTCCTGGCTTCCTTTTATTTTGTTTCTTTTGAGTCAAGATCTTATTACATTGATCAGAACTGTTAATCCCCCTACCTCAAGCTCTGAATTAAGGAGGAATACAGGTGTGTTATTGTGCTTGGCTGTTTTAATTATTTTTGCTAAGCTGGAATTTTTAATAGTTGCAAGGGTGCTGGAACAGAATACTTAATAACTAAGCACATCTTCAAAAATTCCTATTTTAAAAACTATACTTCTTCCAAAAGTTCACTGGTGGTCATCTAGTGTTAGAGGTAAGATGTGTACATGTATATGTACAAATATACGAACTATAGGGTGACCAAGCAACTCTGTTCTATTAGTGTGAGTACTGTTTCATATATGATGTCAGTCAGTATTAATTTGCCATATCAATCAAGGAACTATAAAAGCTACCTGATTGTATTAGTAGATTCAGACAAAACATTTGCTAGAACTTCCATTTATCTGTGATTAAAAACAACACAGCCGGGTGGTGGTGGCGCACACCTTTAATCCCAGCACTCAGGAGGCAGACACAGGGGGATCTCTGAGTTCCAGACCAGCCTGGTCTACAGAGCGAGTGAGTTCCAGGGCAGCTAGGGCTACACAGAAAGAAACGCTGTAAATGGAGGTTTCTCTCCTACCCGGCAGTTCCCAAATAAACACTCAAAGGCTTGATATTAATTATAATTGTTTGTCCAATGGCTCAAGCATTTTTTTTTCTGAGGCAGGGTTTCTCTGTGGCTTTGGATGCTGTCCTGGAACTTGCTCTTGTAGACCAGGCTGGCCTTGAACTCACAGAGATCCACCTGCCTCTGCCTCCCGAGTGCTGGGACTAAAGGCGTGCTCCATCAATGCCTGGCTGGCTCAAGCATATTACTGGCTAGCTCTGACAACTAAATCAACCCATTTATACTAATCGGTGTGCCACCATGTGGCTGTGGCTTACCAGTGATGCCCTGCCATCTTACTTCTTGGGCGGCTACAGGAGTCTCCCTGACTCCACCTTCTTTCCCTCTATATTTGTTTGGACTTCCCATCTGGCCATGTTCTGCCATAGGCCAAAACAGCTTTATTCATCAAACAATAAAAATAAAAGCAACAAATATTCACACCATACAGAAGGATATCCCACATCAAAACCCTGTCATGGGAAAAAAAACCCAACCCCAAAACAACAACAAAAAAAACCAAAACAATAAAAACTACACTTGCCAAATTAGGACTAGAAAGGAACTTCAAGCTGATGAAGGACATCTACAGGAAATTAGCAACATGTACAGTGATACTGATCACTTCCCTGCTAATATCAAGAACAAGGGGGAAAAATCTGCTTTTGGCATTCATTTTTCTTTTTTCCCCCAAAAAAAGGGTTTCATGTCTTCCAGGCTGGCCTTGAACTTCTATGGCCAAGGAAGATTTTGAACTCCTTAGTTTCCTGCACACATATCCACACCCTTAAGTACTAGGGTTACAGGCATCGGAATACGTGCAGGGCTTTATTTATATGGAAGATGGGAGGAAAGTATCCTACCAATTAGGATGCACACACACACACTCCTTTTCTGACAGGATCTTCTGTAGCCCAGGTTGGTCTGGGATGTAGCTGAGGATGACCTGGAATTCTTGATTTAAAAATAAATAATAAGAAGGGCAGGAAAGGTTTAACTCAGCAGTTAATAGCACCGGATGTACATCTGAGGATCCTGATCAATTCCAAGTACCTTTATGATGACTCACCACCATTCTTTTTTGTTTTGCTTTGTTTTAGT